AAGCTGTGCTGCCCAGAAGGTAATTTTAGTAATACCAGTAGTTGATAATTTGTTTTCATAAGCTGTACGCCATAATCATCATAATTATGACAAATCACGGCTTGAACTATCTTGCTTTGCATATAATGAGTCTTATATATTAGTTTCACCTTTTAAGTTGCATTACTGAAATAAATGAACTTTTGCATGATATTCTAATTTTTCGAGTTTCACGTGTAGATATTCATGAAATCACATGCAGCATATTACCAAACAAATTATCAACTACTGGTATTACTAAAATTACCTTCTGGGCAGCACAGCTTAGATGTGTAACAATAGACTGGGGCAACCCACGTTTAGCTTAAGTCTTAACACAGATTGAATTGTGGATCTAACTCTCACCTCACTAGGATATAAGGACAACAAAATAAGGGATGCCTATTCCTTCCTGAGCTCTTAGAAGAGATAAAGTGTTTACATGAAAATTATTTGGGCACTTATATTATGGGCTGCTAATAAACCATCTCCTACTATAGCTTGACTCAAATAGCTGCCATGATCTTCGTGAAATGATCATTCCTTCATCCAAAATACATGAAATAAAATAGCATTCAAGCTTAACAAAAAAGCACCATAGCACTCTGATACAATGGATGACTATGAATTATAAATTGCTTGTGCATTAATAGCATGGGACAGCATTAGAAAACACAGCGCTCTGTCGAGTCTATAGCAATTGTATACGGTATCCGCTAAGAAACAAATACGGATCACTCCGTAAGAAATCGTCCCAGCGGGCCTTTCAAAAGAGGCAATTCGCTTGAGCGGATAACGGGACATCTTCCAAGGCCTCAGCAGATTTCCTCAGATCCGGCCCACTCGCAGCCGGCTTGCCCTGAGCATTATCAGATCCAGAGCCAACCGGAAGTTGCGGCTGGAGTCTATGGACTCGAGCCCTTCGTAAAGCGCCGCCTCCCCCCGCAGGAGTGGACTTTCGGAATGGGCGGTGCCGGAAGTTACGCCATGGGGAGGGGCGAATTTCCGGCGCGAGGCCGGATCCGTTGCTGGCCTCCGGGGATCGTCGGGCGTCTCGTCCCTCCTTTGGCGGTCATGCTGCTGCCGCCGCTGCTGCTCTGAGCCATGGGTGCCAGCGGCTCCAAGTCTCGAGGCCTCTGGCTCTTTGGCTCGGGTGGGCCAGGCGGCTCCGAAAGGTCAACCGGCGATCAGACGCTGGCTCGAGGTCGGGGATTCTGTTCGGCTACCCCCTTCGTCTTCACCCGCCGCGGGTAAGAGGGAAGCTGGGTGTGGGGGGGAGTGGGGACGGGACCGGGCAGGCTAGGCGGTCTTGCAAGCTCAGCTTTTTCCCTGCCTGCCCCGAGCATCGGCCTTCAAGTAAGGAGGGCGGCGGGCGCTTCTCTCCAGGTGTCCTCGTTTCGGTCGCTCGCGGTGTGGAGGGGAAAAAAGGAGATTGAAGCTGCCCGATCTCCCTATACTTCTCCCTCCGTCATCCGACGACTTCGGAATGACTCAAAGACCACCACCATCGGAGCTTTCGTTTCGGACAGAGCCGCTCCTGAGATGCTACTTTGGGAAACCTGGCCAGGGCCTTCAGCCCACCAGTTCGCGGATAACTCCATTGGGTGATGATGTGCCAAGTCCTTTCCGACTCTTAGCGACCACACCGATTTTGTCCGTGACTATCATTTCGTTACTCGGGGTTTCAATGCTGCATTCATTGCCACTGTGACTGGATCCATCTACCTCGCTGCTGCTCGTATTCTCTTCCTTCCCTCTTTCCCAGCCTTGGAGCCTTTTCCAGATTTTTGCTTGCTGAAAAGTAAAATAATTGCAATGGAGGTATTGCAATACCTCTATTGCATACTTCAGGTATTGCAATAGCATAGAAGAAATCGTCTATCTCTCTGGTTGTTAGAAATGCCTCAGGAGAAATAATAAATTGATCATTTTGCTGTGGTAGAATTGTTCTGGAGCGAGAAAATAAACAACTTAAAGAATTTACCTTGCTTCCTCGATATTTATTTTGTACAAAATATATAATGCTCTTCAAATGCATAATAAAAAAAATGTCCCCATGGAGGTTCAGTGGAAAAGAAAGAGGTAGGGGCACTTTAATTTTGAATTTTGTTGCAAAATAATTATACCTCCTTGAGAACTTTGATGATCTATTATCAATTGTACGTATTGAGAGTGAGAAGTCTTAGTTTATAGCTCTCTTGTTCCAGATTGCTTGTGATAATGGCTTTTTACTCTGACATCGATTCACCATCTGAAATGTTTTGCAGCACATTCTGCAAAATCTTTGAAGCAAAACATCATACATAATTCAGTAGTTTTTGTAGTTCAGATTTAGCTCAATTGTCAGGAGCAACATCACTGATAACTGTTAGCAGATATGAAAATTATCCAGATAGCAACACTTCTTAAAGAAGATTTGTTGTGACTGTATGAAATGAAAATGAAAATAAAACATATTTACAAAAGAAGATTTGGAAAAATTAGGATCAAATGCCCAAAAGAGTTATGAAGACGATCAGAAGACAATATATCAAATCTAATGAATAGAGAAGATCGAGAAATATTTAGCATTGAAAAGGCTGAAAGTAGGAAGGGGAAATATAGTAGAACTTTTATCTGAATGTGCACTACAAAAAAGTCCAGTGTTTCATCATCCCAAAGAACAGAATAAGGGATTTAAATTATAGTACAGAAAAGCAAGTTCCTGAGCTGAATTTTGCAAATAACATGCTGATACTAAATGGGCTTAACTGTAAAACTTAATACAGAGGTTCAGTAATTTCTTTTCCTTGGTTGTGTTTCCTGAACAGCCATCTGTCAGGGATGCTGTAGGATTTGTAAATTGAGTCAGCTGTTGGATTTGCTAGTCCTTCCAACGCTATAATCTTACAATTCACGTTGTGAGTAGGCAAAAATGGCATGTCTGTCTCCCTATTAGTGGTTGAGGGTTCCTAATTGAAATGTCATTGCAGTCTGACTGCAGCGTTTCACTTCTCATTTGTATATGCTTGACTGTTCCAGTTTCTTTCTCCAATTCTCATTCATTCTGCTTCCATTAATTATTAAGGCAAAATACAAATCTGCATTCATTTGGTGTTGCAAGTATGGAAAAAACAAATGTAAACATCTCCAGTTATCTGAACATTGTTTTACTGCAGAACCCAAGATTGTTAGTGCAGTGTGTCTGAAATTAGACAATCTAGATACATTAGACTATTTAAATGTACAGTTTGAAGCAGTCAGTTACCAGAAAAAGTAACTTATATGTATGTAGCAAATGATGATCTGAATCTTTCTCTGAAATACAGTTAGTCCTCAACTTACGACCACAAAAGAGCCCTAAATTTCTGTTAAGTGAGACATGTGTTAAGTGAATTTTGCCCCATTTTAAAACTTTTCTTGCCACAGTTGTTAAATGAATCACTGCAGTTGATATGCTAGTAACCTGGTTGTTAAGTGAATCTGGTTTCCCCATTTACTGTGCTTGTCGGAAGGTTACAAAAGTTGATCACATGACCTTGGGACACAGCATCGGTCATAAACATGAACAATTGCCAAGCATCTGAATTTTGATTACATGATTATGGTGATAGTGCAAAGGTCATAACTGTGAAAAATGGCTGTAAGTCACTTTTTTCAGTGCTGTTGTAACTTTGAACGATCACTAAATGAACTGTTGTAAGTTGAGGACTACCTGTATAAGGAGACCGTTTGGAATTAATCCCAATTATATTGGATATTTCTGGTATATTAATGCATACTTGCCACTAAACAGTTTTTCTACTTTTTCTTTTTTTAAGCAAATAACAAAAATGTGTGGTTTAGATATCTTTGAGGTATTTCACATTTCTGTAAATATATTTAAAGTTTTTAATGATAGGTTGAGCCTCAAGAGAAGTCTCCCCTTTCATCTTAATTGTTGTTAATGAGTGTCATATAAAATGGTAATTATCTGCATGTTTTATTGAACTAGAACATGATGAGAAATCATAGAACATGGCGAGAAGTGATGCACAACTATTGTTTGTTCCAACTTGCAGCAGAATCCATTTGAGACTTCATCTTCATGATTTGAAATCAGTGTCACTATATAAAGTTTGTTTTAAAAGTATGCTTCATCCCACATATTAAATCAATATTTTTTTTAAAAAAATAAAAAATAACCAACATACAAAAAAATTATTATTAAATCTGTTGGCTGCTCCTCTCACTGCGAAGAGATTCTGGGAGCTTACAACATTAAAAGTAATAAGCCATACACACACACATACACACACACACACAAACAAACAATACAATATATAATAACATTTAAATTGTTTTATGACTAAAAGATGGAGACGAAGGGAGCCGGATGGGAGGTAGGTGGGATCTCTATTGGTCCATCAGTCACTTCTANCAGAGATACAAAAGTGGGTGGTAGGTATAAAAAGGTTGACTACCCCTGCTGTAGTGATATAAGTAAGCTGTTTGATGCAAATTTCAAGGGTCTTACTACTTTCTGGTCCTATTCCTCAGTCTGTCTCTGCAGATAAATGACTACTTTTAAGTTATCTTTAGTCCAACAGTTTGGCATGTCTTAGCCGACTTGCTTTTATAATGTTTTCAGATTTCTGGTTATGAGCAAGACACTTTTTTAGCACAATCTGTCTTAGGTGGAAAGATCATTGCCACCCGCTTCTTGAAAGTTAATTTTGGTGACATTTCACTCACACTGTATTCTTTTTTGTTCCAGGGCTTGGTGAAACTGGAGCACCCTCGGATTCATGTGGACTTCCCTGTTATCATCTGTGAGGTCTGAGCCAAGAGAAAGTTTACTGTGTGCTGTCAGTACATCTTATCCGCCCAGTTTTACTGCACCTCGTGTAAACCATGCTAGGCAGCCACACGTCCCTGCAGAGGATGAATTGGGGGCACAAACAGACAGCGGGCTTTGACGCTTCTCTGCTTGGAGGCAGTGACAGCAACTGCGGCACGGGGCACACTTCTGACTATCAGGCATAATATTGTCTAAGGATGTATATTAGTGGGACCTGTGTCAGATGGGAAGTCAGGCCTTGATTGGGAGCCTACTCAAAATTTCCTTCACTGAGTCAACTAGAACCTTTTTAACAGCTGCTCATTGATGCTTAGGGGGCAGCAGATGTCAAATGTCTTGACACTAAGAGGGGCAACTTGCACTTTTTTGGGAACAGATATTCCGCGTGATTACCCCAGTCAGCTTACACAAACATTGATAACTGACATTTCAGCCTATTTCTTCCAAGATGAGTAAAGGTGAGAAAGAAAACCTCTTATGCTTCTTTGTCCTCTCAGCCACTTACCTTATAAGCATAGGCCGAAAGACTTGACTATACTCGACTATATCTTTGTGGAGGCAGGGAGGGTAATGTTGCACTTAATAAACTGTTCGAAACAGAATCATTTTTTGAAGGAGTCGTAGGAAACAGACCAACCGGAAGGTTGTCCTCTCTTTGTTATATTTCCCTTGGGAGTTGCACTATTTCCTTTGCAGGTTTCATCTTTTTGAACTTTGCAAGATAGAAGGTGTGAAGTAGCATCTGGATATGAAGCTTTTCTGTTAAAGCGCACCAAATGGATTGTATCTTAGAAAGCATTTGTCTTTCAAGAGAGCATCCTTCCCACACCTAGAGCCCTCCAATAAATGCTAGAGCACAGTGAGACTGTAGGGCCAGTGATTTTGCTAACTGGAGCTGATGAGATTCATAGTCCAGGACCTTCTCTGGAGAGCCCCATGTCAGGAGCATAGACTTCTCTCTTCATTCTTGTGGTAGAGTAACTTGTTTCCATATTGGTTTCCCATGCTGCACATGGAGAGCCTCCACCTGTGGTCCACCACGTGTTGCTGAATTGCAGATTCAACCATCCTCCACCTTCGGCCATGTTCTCTGGGATTGCTGGAGAGCCAAATGTTTCCATCTCTTTCTTAGGTTGTACTGTCTCTACTAAGACAACTGTACTTCGGTCAAGATGTTTGCCCTCTAATTTGGCTGTTTATTTTCCCCTTCATCTCCCTCTGCTGGCAATTAATAACAAAATCCTGTGATCTTCCTTTGGCAGACTCCTTGGATTGGACCAAGTAGTGTCTGATAGGGGGAGAATGCAGCACATCTCAAAGGAGAGTTACATCTTTTCTATGTTGAAGGGCCTTACCCTTCTCCCAGATGTATGAATGTGGAATGTTTTTGCTATGGTACTGATAGATGAGCAAGTACTGAAGCGGTATGCCTACCTCTTCATCCCAGGCTTCTTGCTTTCACGATGTAGAGCTACCTGCTGCTGAGAGGTGATCAGGCAAACCTTGTTAAAGGCACTCTTAAGAAGAGGCTTTCATATGCAATGTACAGCCAAACAATCCTTGCCTGCCTGCCTGCCTTTTTACCCACCCATCGGACTTGGTATTGAGCTTTAAAACTGGAGTGTGGGTGGGTTCATTGCACATCATATTTCTTTCCCAGAGTGTGTCATTGCCTTTCTGAGCACTTCAGGCATTGCTACCTCAATGTTCAGTATAATTAGCTTTGTACACAGTTGCATCTCAATATTAATAAGTTAAATGTGCATCCTTTCATCTCCGCCCATGCAATCATTTTTAAGCATTAAAAGCCTAAGTAGAAGGGCCACGGACTGCATACAGCAATGCTGACAGAGGTCTACCTATTCACTCTCATCTTCGCTTTTCTTAGCTACAAGTCTGTGTTGCATATTAGGATTGATACTTGGAGCATAGTTGCCATTTGTTTCCTCAGTTGCCACTGCTTTGCCATTCAGAAATTAGGTTATGGGTTTCTCAGGTGTATGATTACCTGAGAATAGAAAGGTATACACATAGCCAACACCCCCTTATGTAGTGAAATCTGAATTTTTATTCACTTTTAAAGTGAATAATGTGATAATCGGAATCTGACATTTCTGATCTTTATTAAGGAAGGATATGTCATTGCAGTGAAACAAGAGCATCCTGCGGATCGAGATGAGTTGGCAAACTTGCTGGACTAACAAATACTCCGTCTCAGCACGATGGTCCATAATGAATTCTAGATTGTCATCAAGGAGCTGAACTACACTACTTTCTTGAGTAATTGAACAGAAGGCTGCTTATTAAGAAGCTTAACTCAAAAGTAGGCCGGAAGAAGCAGTGTGCTCAGTGTTGGGTCACATTTTCTCTTCAAAATGGAATATTCTACTCTCCAATCTAGAGATTTGATTCATGGGAGACAGTGGAAGGCTTGTTGGTAGCAGATTTTCTCATATCTACATTTCTAAAATACCTGCTTTTATGTTCTTCCAGTAATTATTTTTTGAGCAAGCAAATGCCCTGTGATCAGAAAAGTACTGTGCTCTGTTGGGTTTCATTTTCCTTGTGGCTTGCACAGCAAGTTGCTCCCACTCTCTTTTTGACTGGCATCTAAATGGAGGCTCTGTGCAAAGGAGATCTCATTTCTGCCGAGCTTGACATCTCCTAAGCTGCAGTAGATTCCCAGGAGAATATCGGCAGCTGACATCTTCTTCCTCTCTCCAAGGCAGTCTCCTTGCCTGTCCACTGTGTCTCCAGCTGTGCAGTTGCTCTGCTGGGATTCTGCCCTCTCTCTCATCTTGCTTTCTATCGGCTCCTCGAGCAAATAGCAGCTGTGATGAGGGAGAGGTTCTTCTGCAGACTACTTTATATAGGATGCTGATACTGTGAAAGCAGATGATGGTATATAGACAAAAATATTGATATATATATCACTATCTTTGGAATAAGCAAAAAGCTCTATTTTGTTTTAATGGTCCTTCTGTGCATGTGTGGTTGTGGAGAACTGAACCCACTGGCACTACCCTTTCTGTTCTTGTAGCACACAGAAAGGAATCCTGGAGGCAAACATGTATAATATCTATTTCCTCTGCCTTGAAGTGCATTTGTTGAATTTTGTTAAATTTCAATAAAATTGTTTGTATATCCCAGAATATACCTATAGTTGTGGTTCTGTTTGTTGTTCAGAAATTCAGTTACTTCTGACTCTTTATGATCCGAGAGGCATCATTTAATTAAGACTGTGTGTCAGTAACTGCTTCTTCGAGTCTGGTAATCTCCAGCTTGCTTTATCGGCACTAGTATATTAGTCCCCTGTCTTCCATTATCCACAATAATGGGCTTTTTCATTACTGGTTGGCCATTTGAGATCTAAGTAAAAGTTAACACTGGTTTCCTTGGACATCTCTACTAGTAATGCCACCACTGCCACTTTTAATGATCTTGCTAATCTTGGCGCACACTGACCATTCATTCTCTTTGCATTGTTGGGTTAGGTTAAAACAACAGTTGTAGAGACTTTGAACTAATGTTGTAATGGTGACAAAGGATCAGAAACGAAACATTGAAGTTCAAATCTGTGTTGTAGAATGCTCTGCGTGCGTGCGTGCGTGCGCGCACACGCCTTTGAGTAAGTGTTAATTCCCAGGGACTGGCTGCAGTTTTCGTAAAAAGATTTCAAAAGTGGTTTGCCATTGTCTCCTGAAGCATGAGAGTAAGAGGCCCAAGGTTACCTAGCTGGCTTTGTACCTAAGGTAGGACTAGAATTTATGGTCATCTGGTTTCTAGCCCAGTGTCATAACTACTACCCCTAAATGGCTCTCTATTGTGTTCAGAAAGTGATTAAAAAAATTCCTTGATAAGGTTTAAACTTCTGTGCTGTGGCTTCCCATGTAAATCAGAGCAAGTCAAATATCATATTGCAATTAAAAAGTGACCTATAAACTTATATAATACTATATGAGTCATCAGCAGGCCACCAACCAAACTGAAGTCTTTCAATGCTCCACTTTGTTCAACAGTTGAATAGAGATAGGGAGACATGTGACATGGGTTAAAGGTTTCAAGCCATCAGGTGGTTACAGATTGAGGAAAAATGTGGCACAAACCACTATCAATTGGCAATCCCCTATAGCAGGGGTGTTAGACTCACGTCACTTTGATGTCACGTGACATATAGGAATTCCCCCCCCCNACCACAAAAGAGCCCTAAATTTCTGTTAAGTGAGACATGTGTTAAGTGAATTTTGCCCCATTTTAAAACTTTTCTTGCCACAGTTGTTAAATGAATCACTGCAGTTGATATGCTAGTAACCTGGTTGTTAAGTGAATCTGGTTTCCCCATTTACTGTGCTTGTCGGAAGGTTACAAAAGTTGATCACATGACCTTGGGACACAGCATCGGTCATAAACATGAACAATTGCCAAGCATCTGAATTTTGATTACATGATTATGGTGATAGTGCAAAGGTCATAACTGTGAAAAATGGCTGTAAGTCACTTTTTTCAGTGCTGTTGTAACTTTGAACGATCACTAAATGAACTGTTGTAAGTTGAGGACTACCTGTATAAGGAGACCGTTTGGAATTAATCCCAATTATATTGGATATTTCTGGTATATTAATGCATACTTGCCACTAAACAGTTTTTCTACTTTTTCTTTTTTTAAGCAAATAACAAAAATGTGTGGTTTAGATATCTTTGAGGTATTTCACATTTCTGTAAATATATTTAAAGTTTTTAATGATAGGTTGAGCCTCAAGAGAAGTCTCCCCTTTCATCTTAATTGTTGTTAATGAGTGTCATATAAAATGGTAATTATCTGCATGTTTTATTGAACTAGAACATGATGAGAAATCATAGAACATGGCGAGAAGTGATGCACAACTATTGTTTGTTCCAACTTGCAGCAGAATCCATTTGAGACTTCATCTTCATGATTTGAAATCAGTGTCACTATATAAAGTTTGTTTTAAAAGTATGCTTCATCCCACATATTAAATCAATATTTTTTTTAAAAAAATAAAAAATAACCAACATACAAAAAAATTATTATTAAATCTGTTGGCTGCTCCTCTCACTGCGAAGAGATTCTGGGAGCTTACAACATTAAAAGTAATAAGCCATACACACACACACACAAACAAACAATACAATATATAATAACATTTAAATTGTTTTATGACTAAAAGATGGAGACGAAGGGAGCCGGATGGGAGGTAGGTGGGATCTCTATTGGTCCATCAGTCACTTCTAGCATGAAGCTCCCTAATTGATACCCCTGTCAATTGGCAGAGTCATGTCTTTAGGTCCTTATGAAAAGTCAGGAGGGTTGGAGCAGACTTCATCCCAAAGGGCACAATGTTCCACGTCAGAGAAGGCTGCTCTGGACTCCACCAGCTGGAAATCCCTGACTGACAGATGTCCGCAGCATGCCTCTGCCGGCATGGGTGGGCAGATCAATCCCATTGGGGTAAGAGAGTTCCTCAAGTGACCTGGACTCATGCCATGAAAAGCTTTAAAAGTAATAACCAACACCTTGAATTGCACTCAGAAGCAAACTGGCAGCAACTTGCAAACTGGCAGTATAACATAGACCACTCTAGTAGAGGACGCCCCAAACTACCACATAGAGTTGTGGCTTCCGAAGGATAGTCCCATGTAGAGCACATTTCAGTAGTCCAGACATGAGATGACCAGGGCTTGAATGGTTGAGCACAGGGATTCCTGATCCAGGAAAGGCTGCAACTTGTACACAACCTGAAGTTATACAAAGGCTGTCCTAGCCATGATTGCCACCTCTTCTTCAAGCAGGAGCCATGAGTCCAGGAGAACCCCCAAGGTGCAAATCAGGTCTGCCTGGGGTAGTGCCACCCCATCCAGAAGTCAAAAGACATCAGAGTCTCAGATTTTGATGTTCCGTGCACTGAAAGCCATTCGGTCTTGCCATGGTTCAGCTGAAGCCTGTTGGCAGCAGCAGATGTCATCTATCTTCTAATAAGTTAACCTGATCTTACACTGCTTCATCGTTTTGTCTTTGGTTGATACTTCCTTTCAAATTTTCTCTTTTCCTTTCAGCTCTATGTATTATGATGAGGATGGTGACCTTGCACATGAGTTTTATGAGGAGACAATAATCACCAAGAATGGGAGGAAGCGTGCCAAGCTCAAAAGAATTCACAAGAACCTGATACCTCAGGTAATGTTTATTGTTGTGTTTTGGATTCAAATGAAGACTCCAGAACACTTAAGCAAGAGGGTGTGATCCAGCCTTTTCAATCTGGTCATCTTCACACTTGATAGAAGCTCCCAGATTCTGATCCAATATGCAACAGATTAGGGAGAACTTGATTAATTTCTAGATTTTTGCAAGCCTTGTGAGGAAAAAAAATGTATTGCTGGATTGGATTTGTAAGATTGGTTTTATTGTAAGAAAATAAGAACCTTTAAGATTGCTTTCTACCGTCTGAGGAAAGCTGTTTGATTCTGCAGCAGAGATTTTGAAACACTTGCAGTTGGAATAATTGGAGTCTATTTCAGCCTGCTTCCTCCTCGGGGATTTCTGCTATACCTGACATTTGAAATATTTATTCAAAGTGAAACATTGTAATTTTGATATATTGATTTATTCCTTTGAAGGAATAAATGTCTCATTTCTGTCTGAAGGTAAACCACATAATCTTAAGCATAAACAGATCGTTAGTATATTCCATATTTGTTTTTTTAAACAATCCAAATGAAATACGAGAGACTAAAAAGCAGAGAATGTAGGTGATGGTTTTCATAACTACCAGTGTTTGAGCAACCGATCGTCATTGATGGAGGGTTTCTTCAGCACTGGGATGATGATAGAGTGTTTGAAGTAAGAAGGAACATAGCATATCTCTAGTGATTTATTAAAGATTTAGGTGAAGATGGGGGGCAGTTGGTCAGCACAAGCTTTTAAGCAAGAAGGAGTTATCTTGTCTGGGTCGGGGTCTTTTCCATTTTTTTTCTGTGAAATAAACCTTGCACTTCATTTTCTGTAATTACCAGAGATGGTGGGCCCAATGGGATGGGGTCAGTTGTCAGAGGCTTGGTTGTTGGTGCATCTGAGATGGTGATTGTGGAGATAGGTAATAGTTTTCTCTCAAACCTACAGTAAAACATATTCAAGTCATCTGCCAGCTGTTGATTTACTTCAGCCTGGTAAGGAGGTTTGCTGTAACCAGTGATATTTTTAAGAGTTTTCCTCATGTTTGCTGGTTCCTTTGTTGAGTAGCTACCCCCCCCCGCCCTCTTGTTAATACCTTTCTGGCCTGATTATACTGCATTTTATCACCTTTTCTGTAGGCTTCCTCTTTGGTACGGCATAGCTGTTTAAGTTTAACTGTGAACCAAGGTTTATTGTTACTTTATATTTGCAGGTTTCTAGTCAGCACACAGGTCTTCACAAAAACTGACATATGATGTTACAGTATCTATGAGTTCATTCAAGTCTGCAGAGATAGAAATTGAGGGTAGAAGTTGAAACATATTGCTTGAACTTCTACCTCAAAACGACGCTATAGGGCACTGCACACCAGAACAACTAGACACAAGGACAGTTTTCCCCCGAATGCCATCACTCTGCTAAACAACTAATTCCTACAACACTGTCAAACTATTTACTAAGACTGTATTACTAGTCATCTTCTCATCCTTCCTGTTACCTATCTCCTACTTCTGACTATAACCTTGTTGCTTGTATTTCTATGATTTATATTGTTTTATTTGTTTCTAGTATGATTTGATTGCTTATTTAATTACCTATGATGATAATTAAGTGTTGTATCTTATGATTCTTGACGAATGTATCTTGTCTTTTTATGTACACTAAGAGCATATGCACCAAAGACAAATTCCTTCTGTGTCCAACCACACTTGGCCAATAAAGAATTCTATTCTATTATATAACTGAGTAGGCAATAATTACAATAGAGCGCCTTTATTTCATCCTTGAAAGTACAGGGGTTTTTCTTTGTAACTTGATTTGGTTTTGTTTTGACTAAACATTGCTTCTTCTTTTTTTTTGGTAGTGATTCATAGCATATACAAGAGATTTATTTTTTCCCCTGGTCTCTAACTAGCATGCCCAGAGGAATGCGTAGTTAATTGGCAATGCTGTCTCTGCATCCAGTATCAGACCTAGCTAGCATTTTGACATGTTGGACTTCAAAAACTTACCACTTACAGTTTGAAAATAGTATTAAAGTAGTGGTGGCATAACTTTTTAAAATATGTTTAATTCTTTTTTTCATAAATAACTCAAGATGATGAGCATATAATACTTCTTCCTGCTCCTGTTTTCCTCATAATAACAACCACCACCCTGTTAAGGGGGTTCAGCTGAGAGAGAGTGACTAGCCTAAACTCACTCAACTAGCTTTAATTTCTAAGGCAAGTCTAGAACTCACAGTCGCCTAGTTTCTAGGCCAGCACCTTAAGCACTACAGATATTCTTCAATTTAAGCAGTTGGGGCTTGGTTGGTGAGTCATGCCCAGCTTTACAACTGTTTTGGCCATGGTTGTTAAGAGAATCGCTGCAGTAGGAAGTGAATCGTGTGGCTATTGAGGGAATCCTGCTTCCCCCTCGTCTTTGCTTGCAAATAGCTGGCTGGGAAGGTCACAAAGAATGATTACATGATGTCTGAACCGTGTAAATACATGTTCAGTTGCCAAGCGCCCACATTTTGATCACATAGTCTTAGGGGTGCTGCAACAGTTTTAAGTGCAAGGATCAGTTGCAATTCACTTTTTTTTCCAGTGCTGCTGTAACTTTGAACAATTTCTAAACAAATGGTTATAATTTGAGGACTATCTGTACACTGAACTGGTTCTTTTGTTTTATGCTATGATTCAGTATATAGGATAAAACTCACATAAGAATATACCGTATTTTTCGGAGTATAAGACGCACCTTCCCCTCCCCAAAAAGAGGGTGAAAATTTGGGTGCGTCTTATACACCAAATGTAGTCCCACCCACCCCCACCAGAGGCCAAAACTGCGAGGTATGGAGGCAGCGATGGTCTGTGGCAATCCCTGCAGCCTGGAACAGCTGATTGGGGATATTCCGGGCAGTCCGATCCACCCGCCAATCAGCTATGCTGAATCAGGCTGCAATAAGTGCTAAAGCGGACCTGACTGGTCAGAATTTGCAGCAGCAATCACATTCAGAAAACACATTCAGTAACTGATTCAGCAGGACTCAAAATAATAATAATATACAGTACACTACCAAAAGCAGGTTTTCCAAGGTAGCAGTAAACACAAGCAAATCACAAGCAGTTTCACTTTCAGTTCTCTGCTAAGCTAGGCTCCTTCCTGTCTCCTGGTTGCTCACACAGCAAACACTGTTTCAGAGTCCAAATAGCCCTCATTGGCTGACTTAATTGCTATGCCTATTAATTGTCTGACCTTGTTACAATGTGTTCCAAGTCATGATCTTTCACACACTGACAGGAAGCTAGCCAGCTGGATGCCATGGATGCTGGTAGGCAGAGGCAGAATTTTTCTTCTCATTTTCCTCCCCAAAAACTAAGGTGCGTCTTAAACTCCGGAGCGTCTTATACACCAAAAAAATACGACATTTTGTTTCCTGTACTGTATCTAGCTTCTTAAACCTATTTTCTGAGGCAGCCCTGGAAGATATTATGTCTCCTACGGGAGAATTTTGTAGACAGGTTCTAGTGCACTTTTATTTAGTTGTGTTCATTCACATTCGTTCAATTATTCCCTGGCCTTTTTTTCAAATGAGTTTTTTTTAAAAAGCTTGGACATCTTTCTTGGATAGAAAACATCTGAATTACAGAATGACATGGATACTAGTGATTAGATTTTCTGATGTAGTTAAAAATGATAAATGCAGCTGTAGAGAAGCGGGGCTAAGCAAACTTAGCTTGATAAGAGATATTAGTCATTTAGTCATTTTTTAGTCATTTATTTGACATTTATAGGCCGCCCTTTTCTCTGAGGGGACTCAGGGCGCCTTACAATTAATGGGAAGGGAGTCCAAGCAAAACCACAAAAAAAAAAAATGTGAATAAAAAAAATAAACCGACAAAACACAACATTCATTCAGCATTCGGGTG